TGTGTGTGTGTGTGTGTGTATGTGTGTGAAAGCTGATTAAATGATATTACCGACTGAATGAACGATTAGTAAACGATGAAGATGGATGAAGTAGAGACCGATCGTTGATAAATATTTACTGCATAATCAACTTTATAAATAGTTTTGTGTATATTTAGTAGCAATTTGTGGTTCACTGGCATCCGTTTTACACGACTAAATTTCTATCTTCTGCACAGTCACCACGTGAGAATATTACGAACACATCTGACTCGCGTTCACAGGGAAAAGTATCTACATATGTTTCTGACGTAAACACTTTGATGATCAGTGAACGGTAAAAAAAAAAAAACATAACTTCCTTCAATTAATTAATTTTGACGTAAACTGCTTTTGTTTCACAAACCTTTTAATCCCTAGCTTCCTCTTAGTTCGTTATTTAAGAGATACTTTCATTGAAATAATTTACTTCTAGAGAGCAAAATTAGACATTAATTGATCGTATTTTCTCGTTTATTTTGTAAAATTTTAGTAAAATATATGTGAAACAGTACAACTAATTCGACATCCAACAAAAGAATAAAATTAAATTTGAAATACAAAACAGTGAAATTAATATTATACTGAATGAAATTTGATTATGTTAATATGAAAATTCAGCGTACAATACAATAGCACATAAAATTAACATAATGTTCAAAAATAACACTTTTAAATATTCAGAATATATATAAACTGTCAATTTAAATATAGAATAGAAATTGAAATGACATTAATAATTAATAGACAGTGAGTAAATTACCGCACAAAAAAAAAACAACAAAAAATATCATTTATTCCAGTTTATCTATTCTTGACTCATATACCAAAATAAAATTTTAAAACTATCGAGAAATTGAGCGCATTCCTTTCACGCAAGTAACGATATAGAACGTCAAACAAGACCGCGAAAATTACTATGAGAAAGTATGATTATGCGATGTATGGTATTTATGTACATACCATACATTCTATTCCTATTCCCAAATGTAACGCAAACAAATTCACACGACCGAAATATTTAAAAAAAAAGAAAAAACGCAAGAAAAAAAATACAAATAAATACAGTCAAACGTGTAGAATAACATAACGAACAATCGTGTACCGTGATCAACAACCAACTGTCGTGAAGTTCGAGTGAGACGAGACTGGTAACCGGTTTCCTTGATATAGACCTAATTCGTCCAACTCTTTTTCTAAATAATGGGCAACGTTTCAAACGCATAATTTATTCTATTGTTCGTTATATCAATAAAAGATTATTAAAAACAGTGAAAATATTCGAATTATTATTACTCATGAACCTTTATATTATTTCAAATATAATTGTAATTAAATTTGAAATTGAAATAATAACCTCACACATATTTTAATCATGGATATAAACAAGTGTTTTCCTGATAGATATGGTTTAAGTTATTTATAAGTACCTGTTGCTTTTTTCTGTCAATGCGCATGGTACTTCGACACGTTTCTGCTGATCATTGGTTGACGATGTAGGATATGCATATGTATAAATTTAATTAAGAATAGTATAAATTTAATTTAAGGAAATTAAAATTAAAAAAAGAAATTGATGTTTACAACAAATTACTTTATCATAATCATTATAGATAATTACAAACGTTTATAAGGCAACAATATACAATCAGCTTTCACTTAGGACTTTCGATCTAAAAATATGATGCTATGAAAATTTGCATCATACATAATTTGGTGGATACAACACCGTATTGAATTTTGAATATTTTCTCTAACATAAGACATTCATTTTCTATTTGTTAATTGTTGTAAGAGTGGCAGTATTAACAAAGGTATTATTAAACACGCTTTCATTAAACACGCCCAATACTTTGGTGTCCATACATTATTATTTGTCGATCAAATAGGAACGCAAATACTTTTAATGAAAAGAGACATATATATTTTCGTTTATTTATGTTCTATTTATATTCCTAAATATAAGACTGGAATAAAATTGGAATGTTGCAATTAAAGTTTTATACTTTCTATTCGTAATCTCTCTAAATTTGATTCTATTGTACATACATGAAAATAATATAAAAGTAAACAAAACACTGATCCAGAAATTTAAGTATAACATAAATTACATATACTGCTAAATTAATTTAAACATTGGTAAATCATATGTATATTTTGTGATGTTAGTGAAAAAAACTAATTGAAAAAAGATATGTCAATTATACAAAATTGAAAAGTTACAACATAATAGTTTTTGCTAAAATAGAAAAATCTCTAATAAACAGTTATAATTAGACTGCGGATCTTTATTATGTATTTATGAAAAATTTAAAGGTACAAAAATGCAGAAAATATATACAATAAACAAAAACATATAAAATATCGGAATAGAATGCTTGTTATAATTTAACGGAAACAATTTTCTTTATAGATTTCATTGCTTTAATTACATTCACAAAAATGTGATATTGCATAAAGATTGGCAGTCTAGTTATATTATAACTATTACATAATTTTCGAATTTCTACAAGTATAATTTTTTTGTATACAATATTCAAAATCAATTTTTTGTTTGTGACACAACAGAGAGGTTCTCAAGGTACACTTAAATTGTCTTTAAACATGTAATAACTATGACACTGTATTATTTACTCATCATTTGTACACTCATATTGCATGCTCTCTTTACTATTTCACATTGTATGATAATACATTCATTAAAACATACGTACCACATACTCAATACATACACACATATATATAGAATTTTCCATGTAACGCGACGCATAATTTTTCAGCCATTTGTAGCTATCTAATAAAAAAAAATTTATCATTATCGCGTATACAAATATACAAATAGTTAATTAAATGTGTTAATAAACACATAAAATTATATGCTGTATGAATTCGTACATTATACTCCTAGAATATGCTGTATGAATTCGTACAATATACTCCTACAATGGAAAAAAATATTTAATCTAATCTCGATGTTGCTATAAAAGCAAAATGTTTGCTTTTAAAATTTGTTATTTTTAAAATTCTAATTATCGCTGTTTGTTGTACGTTCGATACTGATAAATTTCTGTTCAAAATTTCCTTTTATTACATAGCCGCAAATAATTGGAAAACTGTGCGTCGCGTTGCGTGGAATACTCTGCATATATCTCAATTTTTCTCAAATTTTTTTCTTGTTTCACGAAGAATTGTTCCTAAATCTTTTAAAGAGCAATAATTAATTTGACAAATATGAATGTTATTAAGTAATGACTTCTCAATTATATATTGGTCAGTCTTTTAAAAGCATTATATTTAACACGTAAATCATAATAAATTTATAAAATATGAGAATTATATTAAATAATTAATTAAAACTTATTCTTTGTGGAACAAGAAAATAAACTTATATATTTAATTTTTCGCACTTTTGGAGTTAAAAGTAAAATATAGAAATTGTGTACTAATCACAGCTTTTGATGTCTTCCTTCTCCAAAAAGCCATAAACAGACTCTATCAACTATGTATGCAAGGACAAAGTCTGCTATTAATACTTGAACTAAAATATTGCGAAACTAAAAATAGAAAATATTTAAAAAATTATCATACAAGATATATACATGATATGAAAAACATTTAATTTGCATTCACTTACATCGCTTGGAAAATCTACAATTTCAAATTGTTCTGCTAACTCGGGTAAAAATCCACATGCTAATCCCAATATAACAACAGCATTGCCTATAAGACTATATAATAATGATTTATTCTGTAATAAACTTTCCATGTATGGATGACCCTATATAACAGAATTATGTTTAATTAAAATGAAATACATAAAATGTCTTTATTAATAAATACTTCATTTAATAATAGTTTACCCGATAATTAATTGCAAACGTAGAAATTTGTATTGCCATGGCAATAATATAAACTGTACTGTTTAACAGATTTGGTTCAAAAGGCTCTTCATCGGTAAAATTTGTATTCAAAGCCATACTATCATTAGATAAATTACTTGGAGCTAATATAGATGCTAATTTCTTACTCCTTAATAAATGGAAAGAAAATTAATATTTCTTATTCAAACATCATTGTATGCATAATCTTTTTGATTGTTTTACTTACTTTGGGGATAGTAAAGTGGCTTCCTTAACTAAATACACAAGAGAAATAAAATGCACTGCAAATTGAAGTAGTACGGTTGCAATCGTGTATAAGTTGAAAATGTTTGGGAGTGGCCTCTGTTTAGACAATGTATTTAATGGTTTTGATCTTGATATGAACAAGAAACAAGTAGCGAGAAGAACACCTTGTAATGTAGCTTGTGCATCACTGAACTTTATTCCATCTAAATAAAGGACAGATTGGCTGTATGCAAGCCCTAATGCATTAAGTGCTAAAATTTTGAACATCTGCAAGGTGGTAACCAAAGTGCATCGTCCTTGTTTAATAACATGGCATACTATAATGAAACAAATAATATAACATTAATATATTATTATATCATATATTATAAATTGTTACAAATCATATACAACAAAACCTACTGCATTGAATTGATGACATTTTACTAGTAAAAGGTGCAGCAATTGAAGCATCTCCCAACTTAACTATAACAGATTGTTCTTCAAGTTCTTCCAATAATTTTTGTATTCTTGCTCTAGTATTAGCAGAAACTCTTGGATTATTTCTTGGGCCATTTGCTACTGCTGAATTTGAAATGTGTTCATTTTTCACATTACTTTGCTTTTCAGTGGATGTTCTTTCAGGTAGACTCGATAAAATAGCGACACCTGAATGAATTAAAAATTAACATATTTATTTTATGTAACATTTATGTAATATTTTATTTTTTATAACATTTAATAAGTTTGTACTAACCCACTTGAGCATGTTTTAAAGCACCAACATCATTAGTACCATCTCCACACATAAGAGTTGTGTATCCTAAATTTTGCAACGAAACAATTATAAATTCTTTTTGTTTTGGTTCGCATCTTGCAAAGATTACAATATGTGGTAACAATTTACGAAGTAGCTCTCGTTCATTATCTTTTAAATGTGCTAAACCCTAAAAATTATTTTATAAATGCACTGAATATTGACATATATTTAAAATCTTTATGAAACTTACTTCTCCCGTTACACAAAGAGCATATTCTCGCCAAATTTCCTTATTTCGAGAAATATTTTTCATTTCCAAAGGAAAGATTATTTTTCTATCCACACTTTCCCACATCCACTCTCCATCAGTTGCAGTCAATATAAGCGTAACTGGTTTCTTTGTAAAATGCAATTCACGGCTAACGTGACATGCTGTTAAAGGATTATCACCAGTAATCATAACAACCTGTAAAAATAACATAAAGCTGTTGTATAATTTACAAAAGTACTAATTAAAAATAAAATTGAAAGAATTACCGAATGTGAAGCATTCACTATCTCTTTAATAACAGCTTTAGAATCAGGTTTAAGTGGGCAACTTATGATTACAAATCCAGCAAAATTAAGATTCTTTTCTAAATCTTCTCGCGTCAATTCTCTTAAATCTTGCGAAGATAAAGGTCCAGGAAGTTTTCGATAACCTAAAGCTAATACTCTAGCTCCACGTCGTGAAAGTGACAAATACGTCGAATCATAATTGTCTGGAATAGATGACAACTGGAAAAAAAAATTAAAATATTTATGATCCATTGTAAGAATGAAATAAATCATTCGAGATTTACTACACACCATATTCTTAATAATTTCAGGAGCACCTTTTACAGTGGTCATGTAATTGATTTCTGATGATCCTGGCATTGTATATCCTGCTACGACTGACATTCGTTTTAACGCGGAAGAAAAGTGATGTCTTTGTACGATTTTTAAGACAGGTGATTGTCCTTTTTTGGGTATCATAGAATCAGCTTGAATAAATTAAAATTGTTAGAATATCGTTGAAAAAATTCTATAAAGTATAATAGCAATAAATAAAGGCGTACTTTTCGTAAGATTCCATTTAATAGCTTTCAACGTAGCTTTCTCGAGAGGATCTCCAACAATACCATCATCTAATTGCACAAGAGAATGGCACGTTGCGAGTACTTGAATACTTTCTATAGGTGCATCAGAAAGCTGAATAACATCCGGTTTACCTCTAAAATGATAAACACTTTCTCAATGTAAATGTCTATATTTGAAAGTATTCTGAAAATTATTTGATTCTTACTCAATCCCCGCTATACCTTCGACGACTAAATTATCACTAGTTAAAGTACCAGTTTTATCAAAACAACATATTTCAACCTTTCCAGCAAATGGAATTCTGAAAGGTTCAGTGCAAAATACACCTATATAAAAATTATATATTATTATACTAAAAAACATATAACTATTTGTTATAATTATTTTCATATATTTTGTAAATACCTAATTTTGATAAGGCCAACAATGAAGTATTAACAGCTAATGATAACTCAATAGGCAATTCTGGAGGAACAACTGATGTAAGAATAAGTGTACATTCCAAGAACAATTTATACCTATTTCTTGTAGGATCTTCACTTCCTATATATTAATAATAAATCATTAGTAGCATAAGGATACAATTTTCTAATATTCTTTTTGATGTGTTATATACCTTTAATCCACACATATGATGCTGCAGCAATTGCAAAAATGAGCAAAAACAAAATAAAACCAAATGTTTCCAAATTGTTAGCAGTAACACGTTTGACCCCGAATAATATTGTTCTCAGAAGTTTTCCCTGTGATGTTGAAAATCCAGTACGCAAAACATAGGCCACACAGCCATTGTCAGTAGCTATAATTTTTAACATATATAAATGAGAAATATGTGTAAAATTATAATAATAATTATATACTAAATTATTTACTATTTAGATACCTTTAAGGCCAGATACACTTTTACTTGGTGGTGTATGTTGCACAACTTTTGTGCCTCCAAAAAGTATATGAAGCTTATCAGCTTCTATGTCTAATTGTCTATTTCCATCAATTTCTTCTATGGGCTCTTTCATTTGTGGAACTGATTCTCCTATTCATAATTGATCAATATAAAACCATAATATATTAATAATAAATTAATAATAAATTAATATATTTCACAATTACTTACCTGTTAGCATACTCTCATCAACAACACAAGGTCCTCTTAAAAGCAACATATCGCATGGCACTAGATTATCATTTTGAGATCTTGTTATGGATACAATATCACCAGGAACTAGTTGGTCAGTAAACATGGAATGCCATCGCCTATTCCTATATACCTTCAATAAAAGCAATTTTATTGAAAATATTTAAAACATACTTTATACATTTATAACGTTCACTAACCATTATAGTATATGGCTTGTTTCCCATTTTTCTAATTTCAGCCATATTTCGAAGTTGTTGCTGTACAAGTGTACACTCAAACATAATAAGCATAATTAATGTGAAGATACTGTAATACCAATATTTATCAAAACACCATAATGCCACACAAAATAATTGAAAAACAAAAAATGGTGCAATTGCTCTTTCTTTGAATAGTTCTCTAAATTCTGGCACAACCATATCCAGCCTGTGCAAAAGTGATAAAAATGATATAAAAAATCGTTTACGTAATCCTTTAGTTAATAGTACAAATAAAAAGATACACTTACTTATTCTTGTCATATTTCTCCTCTGCTGCTGCAATATCTTTTTCATCTAAATATCCTCTCCATTCGCAATAATGCTTAACAGAATGATTAATTGGAAACTGAAGGTCTTCAAAACTTTTTTTATGCGAATTCCAATGATATTTGGTTTTTTGAAATATGAACCATGGTTCTTGCTGTTCAGAATGATGTAGTTTAACGAGTTCTGAACTTCCATTGTTGGGAGTAGGAACTACTTTCGCTATTTTCGCTTTATATGGATTTTTTTCCTGGAAAAGATTTAACATTCAATTATTTCAATTTGAAATTTCCCGCCAATCGGCCATGTGACTCATACGAACAGAAGGCCGGTTAGAATGGCTGCCACGTTAACGGAACATATTGAACAACATAGCTGGCACGTGCAATTTATTTAATTAGTTCTTATGGTAAACGATTGTCAACTCACCGAGCTACAATTAAGAAAAGTATGTATATGCACTGACCACTGGCAACATAAACATATGAAAATTTGTAATACACCAATAGCTGCGATACCCACTAAACCCGCATCATAATATTCGTCAATTCCGTAGACAAAAATCCAACTATAAATCCACACAACGTGTAGTATTACAGAGGGTAGAACGTAGCCCGTGAATAGTAATTTTCGAGGATTGTGAAGGGTAACAGTTTGTACGAGTTCGTCTACCCGCGATGAAGCAGTAGTCGCCATGGCTATGATTACGCTATGCCGTAACAGGAGCGTATGGTCTTTAGTGTTGAGAGGTTCGGGTTCCTTTCACATCAAATTTAACAGCACGAACAGAGCAGACTCGCACAGTAAAATATATACATAACAATTGAACCATACGAAAAGTACTTGAATTATGTTTACCCCTTTCGTACCTTTCCTCGATCTTCTATGTGTATAATGTATACTAATTTATGATAACAAGACAAAAATGAATTTTATGCAGACTACTTCCCTGTCATCTTGTGGTCATATTTCGAACTATTTTTTATTATTTTGATAAGACTTTCTTCATTACATGTTCAAATTCTAATTCACTTGTCAAAATGTTCATGTAAATTCATTCTATTCATCACTATGTGGGACGTTCGAAACGCTAAATTATAACTCTGATACATGGAGTGTATAACATAAATGAAATTGTGATTGTAATTGAATTTTTTTATTATTGATGTTGGAATAACTTTGATTGCATGTACCGAAATAATAGGAGAATAATAGGAGAATTAATCATTGACAAAGAACAGAATAGATATGGGACTTCATGTCTGACATTCAGAAATACTGACATCAAAAAAATCGCGTCGCAAAGAAAGGATTCAAAGAAGTTCATCACACAGACGAAATATAGGAGTAGACGAAACATCAAATGTATTTTTTTGTCTTACGATTTCGGAATTGTAGACCTCTTTACCATTTTCGTGTCGCATCCTGCCGTACCGATTTAGGAAGGTTTTGCACCGCAGCACTACTAGTGATGAGAATTAAAATCAAAAAATATGGGCAATGTTGTCACATCTGCTTATTGAATTAAACATGGTTGAATACTTGACTACACCTCACAGACGAGATATATGTTAAGCGTAGAGTGTGCTAAAAAACCGGTGATTTTTTTTTTTACTATGTCGGTATTTCAGAGCATGGTATGCGAAATCCCAGAAGATGTTTATTCATATATCTCGTCACTGATCTTACCTATGACACGACTAATGAAAATGTGATCAAATTAATATTAAGTTCTTAGATTTGTATATAGATGGCGCTACTGTACGTTTTACAAATGCGCATGACAAAATATTTAATTTTAAAATTAACGCTCTATCTTCAACGTTTAAGTATCTATTCATGTTTTAAATATTCATATTAATTCAAAGAAAGTATAAGAAGCAAGAATATAGATTTATATAGGATATATGAAAAGAACAGGAAGCGCCAATGCGTTCTGTTTATGCCAATGGGATCGAATTGCGATCATCAGTCATTCAGTACGTATGTAAGTCGAAAAATATATTCAAATTAAAACACAATTCCTTAGCTTAATCGTATACAGAAATCACGCGCGAAGCTTGTCAATGCAGGAATAAAAGTAAAATTATCAAGCAGTTGACCTTACTCTTTATGCAATTTTATTGATTGCATTCTAGCGACATTTGTTAACATGTAAGGTCAAATGGTGTACGCTGGAGAACACGGATACTAGTGAAAGTAGTGCCTTGCTAATTGGCCTTAAATCCGAGCCGAATTTGGCATCCGAAACTGATGAAACGTTTTTGGAAAATTTACGAATTGACAATTTCGCCTGTAGCGTGATCTGTCAATTCGAGTGTGAGAAAAGATGAAGAAATAAAAAATTGAATACCAACTTTCGAAACAATCTGAAACAAGAATGTAGTCGAGTGTCAGTTAGCAAAGAGTAGTAACTATACACGTATAGCGTCTGGCTGTACACCCCACCCGGTTGCTCGATCGGAACTCGTGCACGCGTGCAAGAGGAAGGGGTACGAACGCGAGAATGGGTATCGATACACCGTGTTACCCACGTTGCTAGGTAAGATCGCCGCGCGTAAAATCGCACAGGACAAACCCCGGCGGAATCTGGACCTAACACCACGGAATACATATATACGAGTGACAGTGGCGGTGACTAAGGTATCGGCGGTCACACTCGTTCCTCGCGGTTCGACCGTATCGTCATCATAGTGGTGCTCGTAATCGATCTCCCGGTGCGAACTCATCTGTCACTCATCCCGCTCGTGCGTTACAGTTACCGAGGAATCTTAAATCGCATTTCAAATCTTCCAGTCGGTTCGATCACGTTTCAATCGGTCGTGTTTCACGATTGAAGTTATTCTTCTGCAGTTTAGTTGCTAAGCCAAGTCTCGGAGATCGATCGTTCTCGCGCGGCGAGGCATATTCTTTCGCGCTCAGCGATACCTGTCAACACTCGCGCCACGCATGACTCGATGATTGCACATCGGCGTTTCCGCGATCCGTCTAGATTGCGAATCGCATCCGCGGATACCGGCACGTGCTTCACTGAACGGATAATCGTTTATCGTGTCACGGTAACCCCGTTCCGTAGTAACTCGCGTGATCTCAGTAATTATGTGATTCGGCGTCCGATCGAACAGCAGCTCTCGCGAAAGGTGTCGCGGTATGATTAAGGAAGGTCGGCGAAAGAAGAAAACTGTGAAGTGTTGTCTTCGAGTTGAGTCTATTACGGCGACCGGCATTTGTATTCCATCGCTTTGAAAATGAAATTCTTCTTGTCCTTATTAGCGATCGTAAGTAGATATGTAATTTTATTGTTTTTATCATCAGAAGGAATTAAGTAGCGTTGAGCAAGTTCCTATGTCTTAACTAGTATATTATAGATGTCGTGTTAACAATTGATTTTAGTATGCTCTCCGTTATCATATATATATATAATCGAAATGAAAAATGAATGAATCGTAACGTAGATCCACGATCGAGGCAAAAGTTTTTAGTGGATTCAGTTTAGTTAAATTCAACTCGTAGTTAGAAACGATAAGAATAACGAGTAACCTTCTCACTCGCCGATGAATCAAGAGTCGCTCTAAATGTCATTTCGTTGTTATAAAACGTGCCTTTGTTATTGCGGAACATTTATGCATGATATAACAGAAATAAATTCCGTGAAGAATTTCTGATTGAAGATTTTCAAAAATCGATATTCCTGTCGATCGACGAGAAGATGAAAGTAGCGACGAATCGAACATTTTACAAGTGATATCGCACACGTGATCACCGTGTCAGACATCACGATCCAGCGGAACAAGTAGTTTCTTAGACCGTGAAAGCTACGACGAGTGAAATGTGCGGTTCAACTCTGACGCGTATCGTAATATCTGGCGTAAGACTGTCTACATTTTGTAAGATTGCGTCAGTTGCCGTTGAATTTCGACTTTACTTTCTGTAATACCGGATGCACACTTCGGTGGAAATAAAGGAACAATTAACTGTATGAATAAACGGTCATAAAACGGCTGTAACTGCCATGAACATTTTATCGTAATACCGGCGTAGTGTACAGGATGATTCATTTTGCTTGATCGAAATGAAAATGGGTCACGTTCTACTATTATATCATTAGGTGCCGTTTTCACTTGTAATTCATGATCTCATTCTCTTCTCGTCTGGCACGTAAAAAAATCTTTTACCACAAAATACCCATGGTTCACACCATTTTATCATATCGAATTTTCCAACTTTGCAGCATATGAACTTTCAGATCAGCATATGTGATTTCGTGATCGATGAAAAGCAACACCGACCGTGTCATGCGTCACGAGTTAACGGAAAACAGTCTGAGAAAGCTCTTAAATGGCGTTGCACTAGGATGTTACATCAGATTTAAATCCGTTTCACTGATTGAAGTACTAGATAATGCAGACAGTTTTAAAGTTTCCGGCTCCGATCTACACCAATGAAAGCAGACTCGTGAATAACAACTTTTTTTTTTTTTTTACGCAAACGAATGACTTTAAGCCTGCACAATTGCGAA